CAATTATGTATGACGATAGAATGTCTCATAATTAACGATAACTTTTTCACGCGTTAGTATTATAAGTATTTATGTGTGGGTATACGTATATAAATACATATATATGTATAACAAGAGACGAGAGAAAGAAAGAGAGAGAAATTATACGCATTACTTTGGTTCGTTGTAAACTAAATTAAATTAACGTCGAGGTATCGTGGATAGTCCGATGATGAATATCCTTTTTGCGTCTGCGAAGTTAGAACAATTTTTGAAATAAAACCAATCGTTTTAACTGACTCGTTTATTAAATACTTATATCTACTTACTTTCGTTAATACCAGTTCATTTTTTTATTTTAATCTTTTTTCTATATCATTAAAATTATATATAAATATTGTTCACTGGTTATTTTTGGAATACATAAGCAAATAATAATCGTACAAATGCATTTCAAAATTGTAAACAACTTATTTTTTCTCTCATTATATATTTCATATTTTTATTTATAATATTTAAATAAAGTATAAATCATAAAATAGTAAAATAAGAGTTAAAAGTTATCTCATTGGTTGGCACGAAAAGATGATGTTTTTACTTTGAGGTTCGATTTCTAACGAGTTTCGGTAGAAAATCAACGAGTTCTCGGGTTTCGTTCGATACCAGCACCCTTCTTATCGCAAGAATTTCGTCGATTCAGGTGATCTCGTTTGGACCATGCCGATTTCTTCACTTCGTTCGCAGTAGAATCGAAAGAAAATACTACGAGGTTATTTCAACCATCTTTTCCGTTACCAACCATCGTTATCTCTTCTTCGAACGAAAGATAGAAAGAAAGAAAGAGAGAGAGAGAGAGAGAGATCTTTTCTTATAACTTATTTCGAGAAAACTTCATCCTCAACTCTACCATTGCAGCAAAAGCAAAAAAGGTTTCAGCAATTTGCTTTTCCATGATATTTTTACTAATGATTTTGTTCCTATTTCTAATAATAAAATTGAAACCAATTAAATTCTATCGACGCGTTGAATGTTATCCAGATAAAACGAAGATATTTATTCCCCAAACCTCTTTTCCAAAATCTTTTATCCTTTTTTAACGTTTCATTGAATTTTTGTCTTTTCACGATGTGTATTATGAATTGTTCTTAGGTTGTTTAAACGAGTAAGTTCTTATTTTACCATCCTCTCTTTCGTATACATCATGCATACTTATGCTAGGTGGTGGCTTGGGTACGTTTCTAATATTTGCATTTCGGCTCTTGTGCAAATTTAGAAACGCATAAAGGATCGTGTAAACACTAAGGTAGATGGGATAACCAAAAGCGTGTATATTTAATACTAATCGAGGCTAATCTTCTACTATTTCTAGACTTTATTTAAGCAAATTTGTTTAACCAAGGGAATAGCAAGTTGTTAGAGAGAAAATATTCAGCGAGGAAAACTTTAATAGTCGTTGGAGAAAGTTGAACCATTGTCTTATTTCTTTGTAATTATTTATAATACTCTGGAGAGAATTATTTTCATTAATTAATAATCAGAAATTCTATTCGTCGTATCGTTATATCCAATTAGATCGTTAAATTCGTGCAATGTTGTAAATTTTTTGCTAAATGAAATAAAAATTGTAGAAATGATATTATTAATTACATTAGAATTAAAAAAAACAAAATGTTAAAATTAGGAAGTTATAATTGTAAATTTTATTTATTACATACAATATTTTCGTTTTACACATGCATTTATTACACGATTTATGCAGTTAGAAAATGTTTTGAATTACTTAAATTTTTCAAATTTTTTAAAGAGATATGTATATTATAATTAATTGAGTATTGCTTTTTTTTTTTTTATTTTTAATTTGAAGCATTTTTGATTATTCTGAATAGACTCTTTGGTTCTTATTTAATTTTATAACAAATCTGGTTACTTTCAAAATAAACGGTTCATATACATATATGTATATACAGTTTGCGTATCTATAACTATTCGGATTGGATGCCATAAGTGTTAGAGGGGAAGAAGAGGAAGAGGAAAGCCTTGCGTTTAGCTGGATTTACCAGCGATACGACTCTCGTGGCTTGTTTCCAAGTTAAACTCGAAGAGAGAGAGAGAGAGTGAGAGAGACTTTTGGTTGAGTACCTTTCCGCAATAGCCCTTTCCTTTCTCTCGTGTCGAAACTGCGTCCTCGAGGATAAACAAAAGCGTAAGCTTTTCGGTTAAATCGTATTTGCGTTTGTTCTCCTCGGCCGGATCGCGCGCGTATTAAACGAAATTTAACTTCTTTCACTCACCCTCGTCATAATCCCTTTTTGTACTAGCCCTAAGCTTTTAAACGTCATTCCATTTCAAAACCGCGAGGTCTTTTTTTCATTATTGACAGAAACAAAAATAATACAACACGTTTGATAAAAATTCACGATGAAAATGATTTTTATTGTTTTATTTTATTTTATTTTTTTTTTTTTTCAAATGAATTTAGGAATACAAGTGTGTGATGAAATATTTTGTTTGATTTTTATTTCATTTTTATATTTAGGATAATTAATTTAATATGGATCAATGTAAAAACACACACGCGCAAATAAATCATTGTAAAAATGAATTTCAATTGGATAATTTTGTAATGAAACAATTTGAATTTTTGATTATTCTAAAATAATTTATTTTTAAATTATTTCATGTTAACCTGGCATTACAAAATTGTTTCATCTTCTCGTATTCCTACTTGGAAATATTTGTCAGGACTTAGTATAAGTTTAGGTGTATGTATAGGTGTATATATGCACGTACGTGCAAACGTTCTCACAGGACTGGGTCACCAAAGAGAAACCAATCGATCATTCGTTTCGTTTTCACAGAATTATATATATAAAATAAAAAAATAAAAAGGGAGAGAGGTGTCCCGCTTATAAATTGTTTCGATATCGAACTATATGCAGGTATGTATGCCAACAAAAATAAATGAAATTTTTATTATTTTACGTTATTTTATTTATTAATCGAAATAACATACTCTAGAAATAAATACGTTTCATAATATTTTATTATTTTTATTGAATATAAAATAAAAATACAAAGAAGAAGAAGAAGTAGAAGAAGAAGAAGAAATATTTATCAAAGATAAACGAAATTAACAAGAAAAGAAAATAGGAAAAAAGATTGAATAAATAAATGATAATGGTAGGGAAGGGGGATAAAAAGAATTGTTAAGTTCTGCATTGCGTAATGCATTTTTATTTTCTCACCTAACCCATTTGTCAAACCTCGACGACAAATGAAATAAAAATGAGGTGAAAAGAATATCGTACGTTTCGTTCTTCACGTTTATTTCTCTTATTTCAAATTGAAATCGTGAAAACACAGAATAATAACTTTTATTTCTCATACAACAACACGTAGACAGATAATTGTCGATATCTCAGGTTTTACTCAACGTCGAACTGAAACCATTTAGCTAACGGAAGGTTTAATCGTCAGGTATTGCAGGTGGGAATCACAGGTGTAAGGAAAGATAATCGGTTCGACCTAACTCGTCTTTCTCCTCCTCCTCCTCCTCTTTCCTCTTTCATTATAAATAACAATCCTGATAGGATAAGAACGAGAATAGCTTACGAATTCAAACGTGAAAAGTATCAAAAATGGGGATATCAGGAATGGTTGGTAGAATCGTTTGGAAAAAGGATAACGTAACCATAAAATTTATCAAGTAAGTATTATTCATATCTGTGTGTTATCGTATGTGTTTTGCATAAAACGTTGTATTAAACTCGTCAAATATTTTATTAAATATTAAAATATAAATTTACGATTAAACAAACCAAGTTGCATATATATTCGATATGCTTTAATAAAAAAATACAAAACAATTTCAGACACGAGTACTTTTCTTTTGTTTAAAATACTAGTTCGTCAAAATTGGTCGATTTGAAAATACAAAAAAATGATTACAGCAGTACTTTGAGAGAGTATAGATAACCAAGGTAAAAAAAATTTAGATAGATACGCATAAAATCCTGAAGTACAGAGGGAAACTGGTGATGGTGATGGTGGTGAAATGGCGAAACGAAACGGAGGGGAATAATAAAAGGAGAAAGAGAGAGAAAGAGAGAGAGAGAGAGAGTTCATAGTCGGTTCAAACGACGACGAGGATCTTGATTTTTACTATCGTTCAATATCCTCTCTTCGGGTTTCGAATATAGATCGTCCCGGAGTCGTACCGTTTCCGTTCTTGGTGGTCCATAGGGCTAGTGCATTTTCAAAATAGCTTTGGAGGAATGGATATTGTGGTTACGAGACGAGAATATACTGGCCGTCACACAGAGAAATCGATATCCCAAATAGCGTATATATATATAGCGAATGAGATTTCCTTACTACCATCAAATCCTTCCTTCCTTCCTTCCTTCCTTCCTTACCTTTCTATCTACCTATGCGAGAAATACCTATCCTGTGCTTCCTACCTGATACTATCCTTGCTATGTTGCACGCATCACGATTTTCAGGAACGTTCTTTATATGTATTCTTATCCCTAAAATTCATATTTTTTTCTTCCCTTTTTCCACCCCCTATTTAAATTCTTTTTTATAGGAATCTCTTGTGTCGGTCAGAACTTTTCTACTTCTTCTCTTTACCTTTGACAAATCAGCAACATTTTATTGCTTTTATTAGATCATCAAATAATTTCTATCATATTATAGAAAATATTCGGTTAATTTGAGGAAATAAATTCTTACTTTTCTCTCTCTCTCTCTCTCTCTCTCTTTCGTTTTGCTTCTTTTACAAAGATACGACTTTGACCTGGCAACCATTCAACTTTCCAAACAATTTCTACGATATGATAATTTTAGCCAAACGCCATGTGCCGAAGGTTTCGCATAATATCTAAATGACTGGTGATACGTTTAGAAATTCTTCAGAACTATTATAAAATGAGATAATTGTTAAAAAAAAAAAAAAATAAAAGTATTTTATCTAATCGAGTTATTATCAAAAGTGAAGAAAAAATGATCGAACAACTCACCTAACTTTGTTCAATTCGGATCGTGGTGATTCTTCCGGTGACTTATATCTCTTGCCAGGCTGTAACAGAAAGAATAAAACCAAAATAAATCCAGGAAACATATATATATATATATATAAATAAATGATCGACAAATCGTGTCAGAATTTTTGGTCAGGTAGACTACCAAATCGTCGTGGTCACGCAACTTTGAGTACGATATGGTGTAAAAAAAAAAAAAAAAAGAAAATAATAGGAGAAACAAAAAACAAGCGAAGCGTTCGTTATTGCAAAAACCAATCACGGACTCGTTACATTATAATGCTTCAACGAGCAACGGTGACTTTGATGAAAAACAAGCAGGGGTTCCCTCTCGTGCATTCAAAATCGTCGAATAGTAGTCAAACCCCGTGGCTTCGGTTATGCTGGTACTTCGATTTTGTAAATGACGCGCGTGCCGAGTTAACAACATCGAAAAAAAGGGCTACGAAATAAAATTTTACTCGATTGCCAAAACGATGTTTCTGAACTATCAGAAAAAAAAAAAAAACGGTTTGGTTTCGTTCGTTTGAATCGAAACGTGAAACCGAATGCTAACCGATTCACTGGTCAATGTATATTTTCATTCAGCGATACGATATTAGGAATTTTCTTTTATTTAATTAAAAATCTATTCGCGTGGGTTACATTTTTTATTATTTTCTTATTTAATTAATTCGATAGTATTTATATTTATTTATATCATTTGATTTAATGTACATTATTATTTAATATATAAATGAATAAATTTAACAATTTTTCAATATATTATTTCTTGTAAAAAAATATTTTATATTAAAAATGAAACTAATATTTCGTACACCCATTGATGAATTTTAACCAGTATTACCTTTGAATAAAAAAAGAACTTACCCTCAAAATATAATTGAAATATAATTATAAGAAAGATAAACTGTTTGTTAGGTTTGGAATGCATGTAACGTGCATCAAGTGTTTCTAGTTCAAGCGGATCTAATGGCAATTGTATGAAGAGGAGTGAGAGAGAGAGAGAGAGAGAGAGAGAGAGAGAGAGTGCTTTGCCCATTCTATCGGTAGCAGGCATTGTAAGCGTGGGCTTAGGGCTGATGTGAAATCAGCCTAATCACCGAGAAGTGTCGCCGCTACACGGTGCTAATCCGATCGCAGATGCTCCTTTCGTTCTCTCTCTCTCCCTTTCTCCCCCTTTCAATGTCTCCAACTGTCCATCCAGTAGCATCAGCTCATGTTCCGTTTGTTCTTCCACCCTCCTTTCATCCTTCCCCTTTACTATCTCTATCCATCTATGTATTCATTACTCTCTCTCTTTCTCTCACGTTTCACATTGGTACACTCGCTCATCACAGTGTTTGTTTGTGGCTACCAACGTTAGTTTATATCCTAATCGTGGTGTCGGCCTGCTTTCCTACGAAATCTACGATTAACGAGGAACTACGTGTTGAATTAAACAATAGGAGAAACCCACCCCTCTAGTATCTACTTATCTTAAGCACGAATGACTATTTCCAAAGGTTTTCATTTGATTAAACTAGAAACTAAGTCCTTTAGTTTCCCTTCGTTGTAATATGAATCAAATATACATCGGCCTATATCACGTTAAACGCCATATATATTAATTCCTATGTGTTATATTTCAAATTTATCCTATCATATTTTTTGTAATTATGTAATTTAGGGGTGGGCTATCTACCCTCGATAAAAAAATATATATTCACTCCTAGAACTAATAAAATAGTACAGATAAATTTAATGTTGTTTCGTTCAAATAAAAATGTTAACAATATGAATTATTTTTTTTTTTATTAACGTTTATTTGTATAATTAATTTGATGTTTAAGATTAAAGATTATTAGTTCTGATAAATGAATATTTGTCTTTTGATTATTTAATAATATTTGATTATTAATATATTGGATTAATTAATCAAATATAATAATAATTATTTTTCAATATGTTTTGAAGTATTAACGATTTAAAAAAAAAAAAGGAATATTATTATCCAACATTCTATTCGAAAGGTAGCTTAGAGAGAGAGCAGATATTCCATTGTAAATCGGTTCTCTGCACACATGCATACCTAAGTGTCATGAAATTCGCTGATGATGGACGCTTTCAAAGCCGTACGAAATGCGGGACCTATAACGATGCATCATTGAATTTAGTTATCTTCACAGGCAGGAATCACAGGACGATCGAATATTCAAACGCATAGCGAATTGTCTCTCTTGTTCGATCTACGATAGGGAAAGCGAATAATTTTCAATTATTTTTTCTATTAAATATACTTTTTTTATTATTAATATTGTTTAAATATTAATCCGGAGAAATTTCATGATTTCATAATTATTAAAAACAATCTTGCATTCTAAGTATTATTTCTATTTTTATTTCGTACATTGATTGTCTTACGTGTCACGCGTGATTCTCAATCAATGGTAAAATCAATTCTATCTTTTCTGAGTACTTAAAAAAAAATATAAAAAAAATAGTCACGAGTGTATCTCGTGTACACGGGAAGATCTCATTTCATCGTTTGAGTCTCAAGAGTTGGCTTGAAAAGATGAACGTAAAAAAAAAAAAACAAAACGGAAAATGAAAAATAAAAAAGTAAAATTATTCAAATAATAGAGAAAGATAAAAGGAAAACGAAAAAGGGACCCAAGAGTAAGAGAAAGAGAAATGGGGGGGGGGAGGAAATGAGAGAAAAAAGAGGGGGGACTAGGGGAGAAGAAAAGAAAAAGAGTGAGAGCAGTGCGTGAAGGGAAAAGAAGGTAAAAACGGTGTCGGCATGAGCGGAGGAGGTAAATATTTTTAAAGCGAAGAACGCGCGCGTTAGAGAGAACCCCTTCTCTAATTAGCTTGGTATACGAAGTGGCTTTTTGTTTAATTAACACGCTCGTAGTAAACTACAACCACGTACAGCCACCTAACCAACCCTCTCTCCCTCCCTTTTACCCTTCTCTTATTCTACCAAGCCATACCATATTTTGTACTCCTTTTTCAACCTTCATCGTGTCTTCCTTCTAACACTCGTACCACCTCCTCCTCTTTCCCTCCCCCCTCCCCTTATTCCAACCTTACTCCCTCTCTTTATACCTTTTTCACACACACACACACACACACATATATTTTTCTTTTTTTTTTTGTAGCCTCGTTCTCCTATTTTACTCACAGTCGTTCGTTCTCACTTTTCGTGACACATCAGATGAGTATTAGTTTGCTTAAAAATTCGTATTCAAGGGTGTCGAGTTTAAAAAGGGTGTCCTCAAACGAATCTGTGTTCGTACCAACGAGAACGTATCAACGAACGTACATACAGAGTCTCTTTCTCTCTATTTCTCTATTTTTTTTTGTTTTTAACTTTATTCCTTGTAATTTATCTTATTTTTCAACGAGAGCTCGAATACGTTAAGCAACAAAAAACGAGACTTTTGATATCGTACTTCAATTAATTTTGCTCTATATTCTTTTGATTTGATTATTTTTTTTTTTTTCTTTAAATAAAACTAAATTTTCTTGTAGATTTACTTTACTGATTCAATTTATTTTTAATTATTATTACGATTAAATTTGTTCGTTTAAAAATACTATTTTATATATTTAAATTGTTCAAATCTTTTTTCATAATTTTTACGAATTTTTCAGGTATGTAATTCAATATTTAAATACCACCCTTTTCTTCAAATAAATAATTATAATATCCCACATATAGAAATAAAAATAAATATTTAAATATAAAAAAATCAAACAACGTATATTATTCTATAAATAATACAATGTTTTAACACGCGAGATATAAATTTTATAATATTAAATAAATCATATGATAACAAATTAATAAAAATTTTTCAGCTACATCATGGATATTCAATTGTCCATTTAAAAAGCAAGCAACAAATGATAGAATAAGAATTGTTTAAATCGTGCGTGTTGAAACGTTTGCGTGGCGTTAACGTTGGAAATAAAATGAATAAGCGATTTGCCGTTTAAAATCCAAGTAGAAGAGTGGGTTGAGTTTCGTTTAAGTAAAGGCTGCAACGAACCAACCAACCAACCAGCCAACCAACACACGACGATGACACGCGAAACTGCGTTTAATTCCACGCAGAGTGGCACACGATTCGGTTCGGTCTGCGAACTAAAGTCATGGTGTCGCTGGACGTTAACTGCATGTGGCGTGTCGTATTTATAGCTTAACCGTGACTCTTCCTCTTTCTTCATCATACAATCTCTTCCCCAATCCCCCACTCACCCCCCGAACTCGTCCGTCTTCTTATTCGACGTCGTTACTTTATCCTAAAATCCTTCATTTGCAATTACCGCGTTATATGCTGACTATTAGCTTTTAACACATGTAAACTTTTTCAATTGAGATTTAAATGATTTAAGATTATACCTGAGAAATTAACTGCTCTATTGGAAATATGATCTTATTTTATATATTTCTTTTAATACCAAAATTGAAAGACTAGTCGTTAGATGTCAATTTGAGTGCTGTCAAATCCCAGATATGAAAGATTAAAATAATCTGTATCTATTTTACTTCTCGTGTAATCTTTTTAAGGAAGTTACGTAGAATCGAACTAAAAATAACTGTCATTACTAGATCATGTGTGTCTAAAACGGTATCACGGTTATTACATGTTATAATACAATTTTATGAACAATTCAATAATCATGAAACTTTTTCCTACAAGTACGAATTCGATTACTTTAATAAAAAAAAGTTAATAGTTTTAAAGAATAATTAAAACAAAAAATCAGATATAGGTATAATAAAATTGACTGAGAAACATGTACGTGAGAGAAATCATTTGAGTAGGAATAGTCCGTTAGAAATGTTCTCACGTATAACGCCCAAGGAATAATCGTGATAATCGTCTTGCGTCACGAATGGAATATACATACACATACAAACACACACATATATATATATATATATATATACATAGAGAAGTAGTCGTTTTCGTAGCATGGTTTACCTTAACGAGGAGACTTCCGAAGGAAGAAGTGCTTGAGTTAGCTAGAGAAAGATTAGGGATGG